GTGGCCCTCCCGGGTCATGGAGGCCCCGGGGCTACTTTAATCTTGTCTGGGAGATGACGATGGAGCTTGGAAGTGAGAAGGCAACTCTTCCGACATTCTCCAGATTCTTCTCTCTTCTTTAGACTTGTCACCCTGAGGAAGGCACAGGTCCAGTCCAATCATCACTGGGCAAATGACTATAGTGCTTAGATTACACTACTGTGAAGAGGACATCTCATCCTTTATACTCGAATTAAAATAAAGTGAACAGTGTGTGTCATTTTCGACCCCCACAGCTCTATCAGTTCATGTGCGCTGTCCTTAAAAGCCATCCGCGCAGATTCCATACAAGGCTCTTATACTTACTTCTGCCTTATATCCTTTTTTTTTTCCAACTCCAGTAACACAGCAGACATTTCCATTTCCATAGCCCCTGAAGAGCCGGGGAAGCCAAAGACGTACTTTCCCTATTATTCTCAAAGATAAATATCTCTTTTAGGAAACAGAAGTCAAGTGTTGAGGCAGAAATAAACCCTAAAAGTAATGTAAGTGAAGAGGCCCTCTCCTCAGCATGTCTTCTTGGACAATTTTCCTGAACAGAGCCATGGTTCTAATATTTAATGATATTTTTATAACCTCGTATTTTCTGTAATGTGAAATTAACACTTACATACAATAAAACCACCTCACGGGGAAATAAAATAGATTTTTCTAAAACGAAGTCTGAACATCATCATTATTTTGGAATCCTGGATTATTTTCTCCTTTACTCAAATCGACGGAAGAATAAGGATTTTCTTCGCTTCTTTCTTGATTTTTCCTGTTAAATAAAGTGAAATCACCTTAATAAAGTGAGGCTAGAATGACACTTCCTCCCTTGGACTCCACTGGGTCCGGGCATCTTTTACATCTCAGCATCTAATCACCGGTGTATCATTTGCATATCAATCCGTTCTTAATGGACTATAAACACCTGCAGTGCACTGGGTTCACTTCCTCAGCCTTGTGATTGTCACAAGGGTTGGCAGAGCATAAGAAACTGGTTAGAATCTGAGCTCTGGACTCAGGGAGAGGGGACTTCTGTGCCTCAGTTGGCCTATTCAGAAAATGATGGCAATTATGCAGAGTCAATGAAATAATACTTGCAGAGCACTCACAGTACCTGGCATATAATCCTCAATGAATATGAACCATTACTATTATTTTTAAAAACTCACTGGTCATTTAGCCAATAGCCTCATTTCAAAGAGCGTCCCTACTAAAATCAACTTCCAAAGTATAAAGATCAGGGTAGGACAGCTTTGTAGTACAACAAACAGCCTAGGACACTAGGTGTATATCCCAATCTGTTACTCATTAGCTGTGTAAACTTGAGAAAGTTACTTGGCCTCTCTGAATCTCAGGTTTACATATGCATGAAGGTAATTACATATTTATATCATAGGCTTGTTGAGAACATTAATGTACGAAAGCGCTGAGCATGGTAGTCGGTCTTGTTTTTCTGTGTACCTTTTGCTAACAGTGCGTGAAATGACGGAGGTGTCCCAAAATTTGTTTAATGAATTAACTTTGGAATAGTATCTCATGTGCAAAATTTTAGTCTGTAGAAGAGTGCTTCTCAAACTGAAATATACACATGGCCGGGGGCGGGGGGTGGGGGGTCTTACTAAAATGAAGATTCTAATTCAACAGGCCTTCCAGAAACCAATCATTTTAGTTGGCTTTGGGAAGGGAACTTGGAGGCAAAGAGTGACAGGAAGACACTATATATCCTTCTGTGTTTTTAAATTTTTAACCATATGGATGTATTCTATTCGATACCTAATTTTTTTAAATGAAGACACTTTGGGGAACTAAAAAATCTCTATAGTGAAGAAAATTGAGCAAAATCGAGAACATGTTTAAACAACCTGAAGTGTGCAGAGTTTTTAGGTGTTCTAACACATTATTAACCCTAATTACATAAGCCAACAAAAATAGATGATTTCTCAAGATCAGGAAAAAAAAATCTAGTGGTAGAGCAAGACTATAAACCAGATCTCCAGTGATCTAAATCCTCAATGAACTTGGATCTTCAATTCAAGAACAGATTAGAGGGTGCCTGACCCATGAACTAATGGAGGAGTAAAGATGATTAAAGAGTAGCAGTTTGGAGCAAATCTCTGAGCTCATTCTTAAATGTTTCACAGTTCAAACCCGTAATCAATCCCTGAGCCCACCCACTGCCGAGTTTGCAGTGCCTCTTGGCAGTGGGGACATGATGCTATGGCCAGGATGGAGTGTCCCTGGGCATGCTAGTAAATTCCAGGCTGGACATTTACAGTGAGGTAGGGCTCGCTAGGAAGGTGAAGTGCTGATGAAATCTGGTGAATTTCTAGGGGATACATCAGAATATTTGGGAACGAAATTGTCCGAAAAAGTAATTGCCCTGTACAACGTACCACTTAACTGCAAATTTTCCAGTTAGCTTTCCCTAAACCTTTCTGTTTTAGGATCGATGGGTCTAGAAAAGGTCACTTACTTCCTTCGGTCTCTGATCCCGGCAAAGATGAGCAGGACAATACCAACCACCACCAGCCCCATCACGACACCAAAAACAATCAGCCATATGGTGACAGGTGGCTGGTAAGGGGTTCCCAGTGTTGGCTCAATACCCAGAAACTCCAGGCTGTTGTCATCCAGGCGGAAAGCATCATTGATACGGCCCCGGGACATCCTATTCCCAAAAGCAAAACACTTAGGCAAAAGGAACACTTAGGCAAAATAAAATGGCGTGTAATTATTTACTCCTTATATTATTGTTCCTGAAAGGATTTTACAGGGCTTATCCTAAGAATGTACACTTTAAAGAGCAATGAAATCAAAGTAGACGAGCAGGTCCAGTGAAAGAGATGAGTTTTGACAATTATGCGCCTTTCATATCTTGCAACCTGGATTAGGTTTGGGGAGAGCTTCATTGGAAAATTGGTTGCAAGTATGGAAACACGCAAATGGCTGGCATTTGTTCATTGGTGAGTATTGTGTTGCAAAGGCAAAGGACTTCTCTCCTGTCAGAGTATTTCTACAATAACTTTATATGAAATAATGGAAAAGGACAATTGGATACTCTTCTACGAATGAATCCATTCCTATATCCAGTTGTATTTTCCAAAACAATATATTAACATTAGGAGGCAGCACCGGGGAGGAACACAGAAAAGGGGCCTTTGACAGTTTCTCAGCATTGGGATGGGACATGGATGAATTTTATAGATAAAAACAAACAAAAAAAGATGAAGATTATTTTTTTTTTAAAAAAAGCAAAATAACGGTGAAATGGAGAGTATTCAAGATCGAAACCTGAAGTATCCAGCATCCCATCCTCCTACC